ATTAGTCATCATAATGGGAAGCATGACAATACACAGGCATACATGTATTGGAGAAGGTACTGGAGAAGGAGCTGAGAGTTTTACATCTGGATCCGAAGGCAGCAGGAAGAGACTGAGGCACACTTCCTCCAACAAGGCCACACTTTCTAATAGTGCCATTTCCTATGAGCCTATGGAGCCATTTTCTTTCAAACCACCATGTTCCATTTCCAGGCCCCCATAGGCTTGTAGCCATATCATAATGCAGAAATGCATTCAGTCCAACTTTAAAAGTCCCCATAGTCTATAATAGTGTCAACCCTGTAAAAGTCCAAAGTCTCTACTGAGACTCATGCAATCTCTTAACTGTAACCCTCTGTAAAATCAAAATGAAAAAGTAGGTCACATACTTCCAGCATATAATGGCACAGGATATACATTATCATTCCAAAAGGGTAGAAAAGGAGAACAGTGAAAAAATACTGGACAAAAGCAAGACCCAAAACCAGCTGGGCAAACTCCAAATTCTGCATCTCCATGGCTAATGTCAAAGCACTCTTCAGATCTCCAGCTCCTTTCAGCTTTGTTGACTGCAATACACTTCTTTCTCCTGGGCTAGTTCCACTCCCTGTTAGCAGCTTTCCATGGCAGGTATCCCACAGCTCTGGCATCTCCAGCATTTTGGGGTCTCCAAGGCAATCAAGGCTTCTCAGCTTCACACATTGGCCTCTCTGATCCTCCATCCAGGGACACTCCTGACACACATCTGGCCTCCAATGGCTTTTCTTAGTCACAGAGGGAGATTCCATAACCCTTTCCTTCTATTCTTGACTCTAGAGGCAGAACCATGTGGTTCTAAAGCTGCCAAGTTCTACTGCTTGCTGGGGCTGGAACTTGGCCCCCTCGTTCAATTACATCTTTACCAGCCTTCTGTTTTTGATGGTTTCCTTCACTGCCTATGCTTGGCTGTCCTGAAACTTGCTCTGTAGACCAGGCTGTCCATGAATTCAGAGATCTGTCTGCCTCTGCTCTCCAAGTGCTGGGCTTGTACCACCACACCTGACTCTAAGCTTTCTTTAATTGTTTTTCACAGTCTGAAAGCTTAGCTGGGTAGGATCTTGCCCTGAGGTCACCTTTATTCCATTTAACATCAGGCTTTTCTCTAATCTGTTTCTCTCCTTTAATACAGGCCTTAGCACCATTCTCCTTCCGGGTCCCCCTCAGATTGTACGTTTTATATTTTCCTTGCTCAGCTTGCTCCTTTTCATTATAAATCTGCTTCAGAGTGAACACTTAATAACCACACAGAGTCAATAGTAGGCTGTTTTGATATTTCCTCTGCTAACGAAATTAATCCAAAAATTCTTCAATTTAGCCTCAGGCAGATTTTTTGGACAAGGACAGAAAGCATCCACATTCTTCACCCAAACACCACAAGAACAGTCTCTAGGCCACATACTAAAATTCTTCTCTTCTGAAACCTCTTGAGTCAGTCCCCACAGCCCCTCAGTACCACTGTCTTCCATCTTCCTACTAGGATGGCCCAATAAGTCCCACTTAAAGTGTTCAACTGCTTTTCTAATTCAAAGTCCCAAAGTCCACATTCCTTCAAGCAAAAGCATGACCAGGTCTATCACAGCAAAACCTTAGTCCCTAGTACCAGCTTCTGAGTTACAGTTTTTATTGCCATGAAGAGACACCATGACCATGGCAACTCTTATAAAGAAAACATTTAATTTGGGCTGACTTACACTTCAGAGGCTTAGTCCATTTCATCATGGTGGGAATCATGGCAGCATGCAGATAGACATGGTGCTGGAGAGGTAGCTGGGAGTTTTACATCTGGATCCAAAGGCAGCAGGAAGAGCCTGAGGCATACTTCCTCCAACAACACCACACCTACTTCAACAAGGCCACACCTCCTAATAGTGCCATTCTCTGTAAGCCTATGGGAGCCATTTTCTTTCAAACTACCACAGCCAGGATATTCTTCAGTCTATACTGAAGTCACTTTGTAGTTGAATTGTGGGAGACTACATTTCTTTTTGTTGATTTTGACATAATTAGGTTTTTTAAACTTATTTTTATCCTGGTGAAATATGTATGACATTTACCATTTTGATCATTTTTGAGTGTACAATTGAGTTACTTTAAGTGCATTCCCATGATTTCTTCCATCTGCAGAATTTTCTTCAACTTCCCAAACTGAAACTCATACCAGTTAAATGGTAATTCCACATTTTCATGCCCAGCTCTAGAAATCTGTCTTAACTTCTCTCTGAATTTGACTACTCCTGACTTCATGTGAGTGGAATCATACAGTATTTGTCCTTTTGTGAGTGGCATATTTAACTGAAAATAATCTTCAAGGTTCATTCATCCATGTTGTAGCATCTGTAAGAATTTTCTTAAGGCTTAGTAATATTTCATATTATATGTGTGCATACATGCATGCAGTTGTTGATGTATTCATCCATTGATGTACTCTTGGGTTTCATCCACCTTTTGACTGTGTGACTAATACTGTTATGACATGAGTTACAGATACCAATTTCCAGTCTTGTTGGTCATTGTCTTAGGGTTTCTATTACTGTAAAGAGACACCATGACCACAGCAACTCTTATAAAGGAAAGCATTTAATTGGGGGTGGCTTACAGTTCAGAGGTTTAGAAGTCTATTATCATCATTGGAGGACATGGTGACATGTAGGCAGACATGGTGCTGGAGAAGGAGTTGAGAGTCCTACATCTTGATGTACAGGCAACAGGAAGTGAACTGAGACACTGAGCCTGGCTTGAACATACATGAGATAGTAGAGTCCTCCTCCCCAGTGACACAGTTCCTCCAACAAGGCCACACCTACCCCAACAAAACCTAATAGTGCCTCTTCCTATGAGTTTATGGGGACAATTACATTCAAACTACCACAGTCATCTTGTTGATTTTAACTCATTACATTTCCCCCTTGTTCCATGTTATTGAATAATTATCTGAAAATCAGAAAGATTTAACCTCTTAACTTTATCGACATCTCTTCTTTTTTAATTTTGATTTTATGTGTACGGGTGTTTTGCCTACATGTATGTTTGTGTACCATGTGTGTGCCTGGTGCCCACAGAGAACAGAAGAGGGCACTGGATTCCCTGAAACTGGAGTTAAAAATGGTTGTGAACCAACTTGTGGGTGCTTGGAATTGAACCTCTGGAAGTGCCCTTAACCTCTAGGCCATCTCTGTAGCTCCCCAAATCCTTTCTTGATATCAGGGATGAAGTTATTGATCTGCAGTTACAGTTGTACAACATGGCCATTCCCCTATTCCAACCTTTAAAGAGAGTTAAGCAAACACAGACTGTATAAAAGCTGTCTGTTCCTTCAGACCACCTGCTTGGCTGGGTCAAAGTGCGAAGCTTGAGGTTCATCTGCTCATTTGTTACTGCCTATGTGTGGGCCACTAACATGACACAACCAATATTAAGTATTAAAAAAGAATAAAAAAGCTGGGTCTAGTGAGCTGAGTAGGTTGACTCCCTTTGCTCCACAGATAGTTGTGGAGCTTGTTCCTGGAAAAGCATCAGGAGCTTTGGGAAAACAAAAGATGTATCTTTCAAGAAGATACAGAGTACAAAACACTGGAGGAGCTTCCTACTGGGGGTCTTTACACAAGGATTTAGCCATAGCTGTGAAAAATAATAATAAAATCAATAAAAACCATACATCACTGTCAGGTAAAGAGGGTTACAGAATCCGTGAAAAAGCAACACATCCTACAAACTTAGATTTTAGTATCAGTAGACTTTACACAAAGCTTCATGGGCAGACCAAGGCCCTCAGCATGGGCTTTGACAGTGCTTCACTCTGGCCTTACTGTGGCTAATAAAAAAGCAGAAAGTACTCCTGCTCTTGACAGTATAAAATTCTTATTATTTTTAGAGAATAGTAACCATGCATTTATGAAGTTCTTTGTCAGGGCAATTTAGTTAATAGCTATGTAAATGACTACTTATTTCATCGTGTAGGTGGATTGCTCCATGTACACTTTCTGAGAAAGAATGTGAGTGCTAAAAACTGTTGGCTCTGCAGATGGAAAGATGCAAAAGTGAAGGCTGGAATGCTGTACCTTGGTGTTGGGATGAGGCAGAGAAAACATAGTGCATTGTAGTCTGCTCAGTTTACTGAGTAGGATTTCTAACTCACAGTCAACTCACCAACCACTAGGGTGTAGGAAACTGTCTCTGTGGGTTATGCTCACCAAAAAATCATAAACCCAGCTAGAGTGGGATGGGAGGGTGCTGCAGTTCATATTACAGCCGTTAAGTTCCCCTGCATGGGGACAGCGCCTATAAAACATGTAAGGCGCTTTATGGGGTTATCCTTTTTCCAGCATAAAAACAGGCAGTGTCAAAGCTCATCTGGTTCTAGCTGCCTCCTGTGAGCAGCAAGACAGCTTTTCTCCTCACAGGGTGTAAGCCTGGGCTCAGGGAAGAAGTCATCAGTGCCCCAGCTTAAATGCCTGCCTGGTGGACGGTCTACAGCTCTTCCTCCCTTGAGTTCATCCTACCCACCTGCGCTAAACCCTCACATTCTAATTCTTGAAATGTCCTCAGATTCCCAGCTGTCACACCAGTTGCATTCACATTCTTGGTGATGGATCCTAAGCTTCCCACCAGCGTGTCCTCCGAGCCTCCCCTGCCTACCTGCTTTGACTCCTACCAGTGTCATTCACTTTCCCTCTTCAGAGCAGCAAAGGAACTTGCTGTGTTTGTTTCTTCCTGGGAGATCCAGCCCATCCAGTTCCCATCCAGTTCCCATCCCAGCAGCTCCTCCTGGTCCGTCAGCTGGGTCTCCTCTCGCTGTCCCTGCAGGACTGTCGTAATACCTGTGTTTTGGTCAGCAAGCCCTTTAAGCCATTGAGAACAGGCTGGTGGCTGTGGCTGGGCAGCCCTGCAGACACTGCACACTGTAAAATGCTTCTTTCCACGCGTTCCTTTGTTTCTCTTACATCTTTTCTCTCTTCCTCCAGGTGCAGAGTGAAGACAGTGTCCTTCTGTTTGTTATTGCCTGGACAATCACGGAAATTATCCGTTACTCCTTTTACACATTCAGTCTATTAAACCATTTGCCTTACATCATCAAATGGGCCAGGTAAAGAAGTGCATATAGCAAAGACTAACTTTGAAAGCATCCATCACCGTATTTGCCTTTTATTGCCTGAATATTGCCTCCAACTTCCCCAAACTAAAATTGGATGAGATAGAGGGATTTCACCAGAAGAGTCTTGACTTTGATCTCTAGAAACAGTGTTCAAGTCTTTATATTTTACTTAGATTATTTTTATTGAAATCAATTCTTTTCAATTAAGTTATTTAGTAGAGATTTAGTATCTATTTTTTTGTCCTTATTCAATTTAGCTGATGAACTTGTCCCATTATGGTGATTTCTGATCCATGTCTACATCTCCTAGACTTGTTTGATCAAGAAACTATATTCTTAAGGTCATTTTTACTTAATAACAAACATTACATGATTATCTCAGCTTATGAGTTTTATTTTGCTTTGATCATTTTTACCAGTAACATTCAATTAAGAATTCAGACACAGTGGTTCACCCCTTTGTAATCCCAGAACTTGGGAGGCTGAGGCAGGAGAATTGCCACAAATTCTGGCCACAGAATGAGCCTCTTGCCTCAGTAACAAAATTCAGTCATGACTTGGGCAAAGACTGATGGTACATCTCTTTATCCAGTTGTAATTGTGTGCATGAAGGACCCTGGGGTGAGGAGGACACAGCAAAAGCTTCAGACTCACTTTGGAGCTGAGACTCCTCATTTCCTCGAAGGAAAGCAGCTGTTGCTAGACAGTCTGCGAGCTCAGTGATTACGTTAGGAACTGCATCCAGTTTCCAGCATTTCAGGTGTATGAGCCTTTTCGCTTTTATTATTGGTTTTTGAAATAAGCCATATTCAGGAAAAAGAAGGGAAACTGACAGCGGAAGGTTGTTGGTGAGCCTTGGCTTTGCTCTTGGAGAATTGTTTTTTTTTTTTTTTTAAGATTGAAATATTTATTATGTTTACAGTGTTTCTGGCATGTATGCCTGCAGGCCAGAAGAGGGCACCAAATCTCATAAATGGTATGAGCCACCATGCGGGTGCTGGGAATTGAACTCAAGACCTATGGAAGAACAGCCAGTGCCCGTAACCTCTGAGCCCTTTCTCCAGCCCCTCTTGGGGAATTCATTGGTTCATTTTTTTGTGTGGTCTATGACAGTTCTTTCCCACTGCCCTGCCTAGTGATCTAGGTTGGCAGCAGAGAATATGGCTTCTTTCTCAGCAGGTTTAATCTTGAGCCATGGACAGGCACAGGTTTCTTTTTTTTTGTTTTTGTTTGTTTGTTTGGTTGGTTGGTTTTTTTGTTTTTTGGTTTTTGGTTTTTTGAGACAGGGTTTCTCTGTGTATTGTAGTTTTGGTGCCTGCCCTGGATCTCGCTCCCATAGACTAGGCTGACCTCCCGAGTGCTGGGATTAAAGGCGTGCGCCACCACAGCCCGGCCAGGCACAGGTTTCCTAAATCCAAGTTGACAGTATTCACAAGGATGCTGATGCCTCCTAATAGTTTATAGACCCATCCTGCGCTAGTAGTACCTGCCCTCTGAGTTCTTGTTTGTTTAATGTGTATGAATGTTTTGCCTGCAGGCCTGTATGTGTACCACATGTATGCCTGATGCCTGCAGAAGTCAGAGAGGGTTTTAGATCTCTTGAAACTGGAATTGGATAGCTATGAGCTACTATGTGGGCTGTGGGGAATTGAACCCTGGTCCTCTGTAGGAACAGCAAGTCCTCTTAACCACTGAGCCATCTCTCTAGCTCCTCTGAATTCTTTTAAAACAGATAAAACTTTTTTTTTTTTTGGTTTTTCGAGACAGGGTTTCTCTGTGTAGCTTTGCGCCTTTCCTGGGACTCACTTGGTAGCCCAGGCTGGCGTCGAACTCACAGAGATCCACCTGGCTCTGCCTCCCAAGTGCTGGGATTAAAGGCGTGCGCCACCACCGCCCTAAAACAGATAAAACTTTTTAAAGTGAAAATAATTGTATGAACCTCTCATGCAGCAATAATTATAATTGTGTAGATTTATTCATAAAATTCAAAGCTATTAGTTTTTAGTGTTAAAATTAGTCAAGTTTCTGTTTTCACAGTAGCATGAACAGGCATTTGGGAAATAGCAGAAAGTGCTTGTGTAATGTGCTGTTTTCTTCAGTCCACATGCAGCTTGGTGTGCTCTAGGCATTCCTGGGTAACTGTTCCATCTCCTTCCTCTCGGCCCCCATGGGGAAGGCCCTTGGTTATGGTTTAATGCCCCTACTCTACCTTTGTTATGGTTTAACACACCTACTCTACCTTCGTTATGGTTTAATGCCCCTACTCTACCTTTGTTATTCTAAAGGTGTATATTCTGAAGAAGCCAAGGTTTGAGGCTGGCTGAACACATTTGCTTTGCTTTAGAACATTTAGAAACATGTACCTACAATAGGCCCTTTTCAAATTGGCTTGTAAAGGCTGAATATAAACATGTGATCAGGAAATGCAGAGACAATAGCTTTCTGACAGTGCTTCTAAACATGGCTTTGAGCCACGCACTGAGGGTTTTGTTTTGTTTCAGGTACACACTTTTCATCGTGCTGTACCCAATGGGAGTGACAGGAGAATTGCTTACAATATACGCAGCTCTGCCCTTTGTCCGACAGGCTGGCCTGTACTCCATCAGCTTACCTAACAAGTACAACTTCTCCTTTGACTACTATGCATTCCTGATTCTGGTAATGATCTCCTACATTCCACGTAAGTATATTCCTGTGCTAAAAGTCAGCTCTGCTGAAACTAGAGTTACATCTTTGCTTTATATCTAATATAAATCTCATTGATGGGGACACTTTGGTTTTTATTGACCACTGACTATCACAAGGCATTTTCTCTGGTAGTAATTGAATAAAGATGAACCTTTCTCAGTGTGTGGGTTTGAAACACTGAAGAGGAGGCTAGGTCAACCCTGTATTAGGAGAAGTACTGAGGAGAAAGCAGAAAACCACTGAAGGCCTTACCTTGACTTTATTCTCCTGTCTCTTGAGAATTGCTTTATTATGGTTTGTGAAAAACATTGTAAAAAGATTTTTGCATTGCTCACTGTATCAAAACAGGCAGCTTTACTTCATTTTAAGAGATCGGTAGCTGACTAGAAGAAACAAAATAAAAACAAATGTATTCTTTTTCTACATTTCTCATTTTCTTGTTGAGTACAAAACCCTCAGAATAGGACACAGTGTTCCCTCCAGTGTGGCTTCCAGTTATTCTAATAGAACACTGATGGCTTCAGTGTACGGAAAATCCAATGTACTCTGAGCGCACGGGGCAGGACAGAAAGGGCACATTTGCCAGGGCTGTCCGGGAGGCCTTGTTGCTGATCGTGACGAGTGTTCTTCTCAGGTTCTGCTCAGTTGGAGCTCCTCTGCTTGATTCCTGTATGCCAAAAGGACCTTGCTAGACTCAAGGACAACCCAAGCTAATTCATTTTCCCATTTAGCTATACTGTAGCCACAGTAACTCTGAATCTTCCCTAGACCCCATTAAGTTCAAACAGGGATAGATTTGATCTCTTTAGGCCCTAGCATTATTTGACTGAGTCACCCTGACCATCACAAATGACATGTTTGTGTCCCCCTGTGGAAAATTGCATTTTATGCATTATCGGGAGGGAGGGGGGACAACTCCATTCAGATTTCATCTGAAGAAATTCTTGGACACAGTAGTCCTGCTTCATGATTTGGTGTCCACTCAATTCATTACCAAACCCTCCCCTTTAGTGCTGGAACCCTGGCAGCCAACAGCCATTCTCTTCACATGGCAGAGGTGCTGGATGTTGAAACAAAAGGCAAATCTGGAAGAGTGAAAATGTGCATTACACAAATGCACAGTTTCTTACCTTTCCGAGTTTGCTTCCTGGAGCTTCATTTTTTTCAGCTCCAAAGTAGCCAGGCACAGCAGTGGTTTTACTGCTCTTAGAATAGCAACCCCGTGGGCACCTGTTGGTTTCTGTTCTGATAAGGAAATATGGCCCACACTATGTGACTGGGAAGGGCAGGGAAGGTGACATGGACTCAAAGCCCTGACAGCCCTGCAAGAGCTCCCACACTGATGGTGACCCAGGGTCCAACCTTGGGGCTGGACCAGAGTCACTGCAGGCCAGGCCGCCTTCATTCCAGGAGCAGTTCCCAAGGCGGCCTCGCTCTTCTCTCCCGATGACCTGTGGCTGGACTGACCGCCCATGACACAATGGGCTTTCCATCTTGGCCTTCAGGGAGAGGGGAGCAAGCACAGGCCTCAGGGCAGAGCTTGGCTCTCGCTGTTTTGAGGGGTGGGCTGCTGGAGATTGACACGGGGCCTTAGGCAGTACTCTACCACTAGCCTGTGTCTGCAGCCCCAGAACTCTGATTTCCTTTCATTTCTGTGTTTGTTTATTAAGGGAATGTGGGTATACACATGCCACAGCGCATACCTGGAAGTCAGAGGACAACTTCAAAGAGCTGTCGGTTCTCTTTCCATGTGATCCACTGAGTCATCAAGATTTATTTTCAGTTGTGGGCGGGGCGTGTGTATGTGCATATAAGTCCCTAAGGAGGCCAGAGGCATCAGATCCTCTGAAGCTAGAATTAGTTAAAGGTAGTTTTGGCTGTCCTACATGGGTGCGGGGAACCAAACTCTGATACTCTGCAAGAGAAACGTATCCTTTTTATAGCTGACCCATCTCCAGCCACGGAACTCTGCTTTCCTAACCTTCTTTCTCCTCCTTCCTTTCTGCTCTCCAGTTCATAACCAACACAAGATGGTAGATTTCTCAGTTGCTTATTCAGGTTACTATTTTCTTCCAAGGCTTTCCTCAGCATGGCTGGATGTGGTTAAAGTAGCCGTGGGTCAGGAATTGTTCATCCTGATCACAGTGGTCATTCTGGCAGAGATAGTATCAGAGTTTTGGCTGCTGAGAAGTCACCACTGGAACTAGAAGACAGCCCAAGAGCATCCAGTGTCCAGCCCCCCACATGTCTTCTTCTCTACCTAGAGCACGAGGGACCTCTGCTGGTTGTAATAGAATGGAAAGTGCCAGGCCTGGCAACCTGAGTGCCATGTCTGGAACCCACATGGTGGAATGAGAGGGATGATGCCTACAAGTTGTCCTGTGATCTCCATACATGTACCATGGCACATGTACAAACGCAATACACACATAGTATTTTTTCATTCTGAATTTAGAAAAAGCCACATCTGTCCTCATTTCTGTAGTGTGACCCTGCTGATAGCCTCAAGCTCTTTCCTGTGGGACTGAAGGAACCCATGACCATCTTCTGCTTTTACTGCCAGTGAGGGGCCTAATGAATAGCCTCTAGTAAGTACTACCCTCTGAAGTAGCCACGGGCCATTGGCACCCTCTGTGAGTAATGCAATCCCAAATGCAGCCAGGGAAGGGCCTCCACATGCTCAGCTCAGTCCCTTTCCTAAGGGAAAGCTAGCGATGTGGCTGGCCCCGCATTTTTAAATGATTACAATTAGCGCTCCCTATGGCTTAATTATATCCTTACTTCCAGTTTTTAGATTATAGAGCTTGTCAAATTTTCTGGCTTTTGTACTAAAATAGTTCTGTCACTGTTGAATTCTTTGCATAAGCTGAGCCTTTCCTGTGAGTAACTTCCTCCCTGGAAATAGCAAATGGAGTAGCAACCAAGCTTGGGCCTGTTGGCCACGTCTCTGGATACCTCCTGACATCTTGAAGTTCTTTAAGAGGGGCATTTAAAAGTTGATCAACTTGAAACCAGCACTTTGGGAGGCAGAAGTGGGCGGATACTCTGGTTTACATAGTGAGTTTCAGGGTGGAATCCATTTGAAAAGAAAAACTATCCCAAAGAGAGTTGGCAAGAGTAGAAGCCTCCTCCCCTCAAATACAGGCTCCTCTCTGGGAAACCGAGATGGGACCACTGAGAAGGGATGGGAAGGGTGAGGTCCTCACATGGGGTTTATATGGTGACTGGAAGTCCCAGTTTGCAGTAGCCTTGTGAAGGCCAGGTTGCTCAGTTGGTACTTCTCCACTGGGCATTTGATTTGTGGTGAACAGGTGGTAATTAGGGATGTGTTGGCATCCCTGGTTTCATATCTAAATGCCAGTAACTCCAACCCTCTTGCCAAGTATGCTCTAGGGAGATGGTCCTTCTAAGAACCAGTACCAAGGACTGAAGACTTTCCAGTACCCGATTCCCAGGATACTGGCTTCCCTTCTGTAATGGCTTCTTCTACACCCGCAACCCTGCTTTGTTATGTTTTAAGTCAAAGTTCGTGGCCCTCCTCTTCCTCCTCATGCTGCCAATCACAGGACAGCCTTTCTCAGGACATGCCCTGAGGTGATAGCTGTCGACCCACCCCCAAACAGTCGGGGCCCAGAACCTGATCCCAGGTTCTCTGTGAGACCCTAGGCATGTTGTTTATCCTGTCTGGAACTGTAGTCCTCCTCTGAAGTAGGGAGGACTCCATCACAGGTCTCTCTGGTGGTTCTGAAATTAGCTAGAAGAAATGTGAAGATTAGTGGAGCGTAACCAGGCTTTGGGTCCATTGCTCAGTGGAGAAACTTGCCTCCTGTGATACTGTTTCCGTCTCCAGCACAGATGAGAATAACTCTTGGGTGGCCTGTAGCATCTTGACTCTTACGGTAGTGTTGGGGTGTCTGCCATTCAGCCCCACACTGCTTTCTTTCCCCTGCAGCTGAAGCAGGAGACTCCATGTTGTCCCCTCCCCAAGCCTGTTTTATTACTGCCATTGGTCATGGATGAAAAAGCACTCGCCACCTGGCTCCTGCTTTGGGGACAGAGCTCCGAAGGCCCCTAACCCGCTGCCTGTTCTTCTCTTGTCTCTTCCAGTGTTCCCCCAGCTCTACTTCCACATGATCCACCAGAGAAGAAAGGTCCTTTCCCGCACTGAAGAACACAAGAAGTTTGACTAGCTCTCCACACCACTACCCCAAACCAAACTTTTCAATGATCAAAAAATGCTGCAGACTTTTTGAGTTCCCAGTACATTTCATAGAAAATAAGTAAGAACTATTTTTAAAATATTAAAAACAAAACAAAATAAAAACCAAAACCCAGTGTCACATGGGCCTGGGATTTTATAAAAAATAAAAATAAAGATAAAAATGCAAAAAGCCGTTACATAAAGCATCCCAGCTGGTCCTTTGAGCATGCTCTAACCAGAAGTTCCCAGTATCTCTTGATGGCGCTCGAAGGGGTTGGTATTTTATCTCCTCCGTGTCCTTCATGTACCTGACAAATAAAGACCTGTAACACTAAGTTCTTGAGAGTTACAGTCTGAGTAGTGACATTGCACCAACCGACTGCCCAGCTTGCAGTACAAGTTCTGTTGCAGTCTGCAGTATGTTTACCATTTCCTTCTCAAAGTGCTTGACTGCATGCTGGAAACTTTGTCATTATGAAGCGGCAATTTGTCCTCTGGAATGCTCTGAAGTTTGGCTAGGACCTAGCCCCTCGTATCTAGTGAATGAGTTCCAAGATGTATATGCCTGTGAAGCTTTGGGTAGTGCCTGTAACCAGAAAACCACTACAAGCCTTCATTTGTTTTTAATTGAGTCATTACTGCCTGCCACTAAGAACCGTGCTTGGATTTAGTAAGTCTGTGTATACTGTGGAGACCCTTACCTGGAGCTTAGCCTCTGTCCGATTGTAACAGCCTGAGGTGTGAGAGGAGAGGCTCGGTCCCTAGTGAACATCGAGCACCTCCATTGTAGCTAGCTCAGAGCACAGATGTGTATAGTCCAGAGCTGCTCTCGTTGGCAGAGGCAAAGGCCATCTCATTACACAGGAGGAGGAAAGCTGTAATTAGAGACACTTGGAAGGTGTGGCTTTACCACCATAGTCCAGAAAAGCATTCAGAAACAGATTTATATACTTACTTTTATTTTAATTCTTACTCTTCTGTTTAGATACTTTTCCTGATTGTGACCCTGTGTTAATTCCCACCAAGCTGTAAGTTCAGCGACAACACATGTCTAGGAGGAGCTAAAAGCAGTATCGTCCCCACAGAGCAGCCGCCAGTGGCTTGTGACTGTGGACATCATCATATGATGTCTTCCCAGCACTTACTGCCTGCCCATCTAGCTAAGTCCCTTTAGGAAAAGTCTGCAGGAGACAGGCAGAACTCAGGTTACTGCCCTGCCCACTGCCCCTCACGGTGCACTCAGCAGACTGTCCTTTTACAAATAGAAAACACGGTTCTGATGACAGTGTGAAGCCCACGTTCAGATGCGCTCCTGATCTTCAACAGCACATTAATAGCATCTCTTCCCTTGTTTTCTTTTTTATCTTTAAGACTTTAAAAGTCCTGCCATTGTCATTTAGAATATAATGGTTACAATCAGAAGAATATAATGAAAACTACATTTTCAAATGAGTGTTTTCATAGGAGCTTGAAAAGCTAATGCAGGCAGGTGTGTAGTAAGTTATTGTCAGAGGGAACATTAGAATTCTGCCTCCAGGCAGCTCTCTTGACTTGGCTGTGTTGAAATCAGAATCCGTTCTGGTGTTTGATAGACAAATATGTGGAAAAGATTTTCTTCAGCTTTTTGTTCTTCCACACTGTACTTGTGTAGCACAGAATCAACTTGGGTTTGTCAGCCTCGTTACAGTGTCTGACTAATGTTAGAGCTGCATTGAAACGGCTGTAGAAGGTGGTGTGAGGAGAAGCGCATCTCCAGCCCAAGGACAGGGGCCTCCTCGGGCCTCTGCATCGGCTGAACTGCATCACATTGAACTTGGGTGCTGAGAACAGTCGCCAGTTTCCTTCACAAAGGGTCTCAATCCAGTGTCCTCTAGACATGAGCACTGAAGACGCAAGGCATGAGTCAAAGTCACCTCTCTTGGCAACTGGGTTTTAGGTTTTTTGTCCTTTTTCATCCCTAACATGAATTAACTTCTCCTTTGAGGTAATCATGTTTTTATAAATTGAGAACATCCAGCCTTTCAAGTGTCTGGTCTAATAAGGTGTGAACGAAGAAGGTACTTCTCAGTGGGTACTTCGTCAGACTTAGAGTCAGAGGCGTCATCTTCCCACACCCACTTGACTGTCTCAGATCTTCCCCAGGGGCCCTCTTGAAGGGAAGGGTTCTTTGAGGTGCACAGCAGTTCGCTGTAGACTCCTGTTGTTAATGTGCATCGTGCTGAGGTGGACACCACTGGTTGCACATGCCTGCTCCGTAATCAAAGGCCCCGTGGAGTTAGTCATGGAGTATAGCGCTGTCCTCCCGGCCAGGAGAGCCCCTCCAAAAGGAAACTGAACAAGAGCAGCAGCCAGTGCCAGGCCCAAGAGAAGATGAGGGATCAGTGGTGCCGCTGCTTCGCACTTCTAATAAAAGCCTGATGTTGCTGTGGTCCAACCTGAAAATCACATTCAGTTCTGAGTTTCAGATCAACCATTATAAAGCATCAAAGTCAGTACATACTGCTCCTTTGAAATTTGGGTAAAAAAATTATACAACCATATATATAGTCATTTTTGTATTTTTTCTATGTTGTGAAAACCAAAATTGTAATTTTATAAGTCTTTGATTCACTAAAATTATATAATTTAAATGTATTTTTTTGTATATTTAGAAATAAGGAGCTCAAAGACTATGCTTAACTTTCTATGCATGCATTTGAAAGCTGTTTTTATCTGATATTAATGTAGTAAGTTATATTCATAAAACACTGATCTGTGTTGCATTCAAAATAAACTGGTGTGTGCTCTGCCTGGGTCTGATCTGGGGCCATGTTGCAAGAATGTGGAAACTCCCATTCCATTATGGACTCCAGCCTTTTCTTTGATGATTTTCAAATCTGTTTCTGATATTACCACTTCTATACTTACAGGAAAAAAAATGCTTTATTAAGATGTTTCTGTCTGCCAGTTAGTCTTCAGGCTCACCAAGGCAGACTGCCAACAGGCTCCACAAGGGTGTGAGCAACCCCCCTTCTAAGGAACCAGGAAATCTAAAACATTAATCAGCAAAAAGTTAAGATCCTTTGTCCTAGAATGAGGTTGTTGTTTGTTGGGGGGAGCTCTTAGGGTCATTTTCTTAGTGGCTTCCTAGTACTAAGCTGAGCCCCCACTCAGCAGAGAACTGTTCGCCAGCAGTCTCCATCTCCCATTGAGAACTAGATGTGGTGAACTTCAAGTACCTCACCCTGAAAATGACTCCAACTCCAGAGCATTCCTGGGAGTTTTCCACGACCTTGGTTAGGATGCTCGCCCGCTCTGGAGCTTCAGTTTCTTTCCCTAGAAAGGTCTTCACACACAGGCTCATCAAGACTGTGGTGGTATCCCGGAGGGAAGCGTCTGCTCACTGTTCCCAGCACTGAGTCTAGGGGCCCCTCTGTGCAGGGTCCCTTGTTTCTCACTTAGGAAAAGTCAGATGCAGGTGGGAAAGTCAGTCCCTTCCAGTCTTAGGGGGGTGGTGAGAACTGGGTCTTTCTGGTTGGCATTGTCTACTTTGTGGCAATTTCGTGTGCTGTGTTGACACAAGCCTTAGCCTGGAAGAATTGCCTGGTGTAATTAGGAAGCCTCCTGTTACACACAGCGTTCTGAAAATGCTGCTGGGTTCTGTTCCTTTAACAAGAGTGAAAACTGGCATTGCAAGTCATTGTATTGTTATTTTTGTTAATCCCAGCCTTACAAATAGCCTGGCTCATTGTCAAACCATTTGGTGGTGAAGAAACTGTTGTAAGTAACTATAACCAAAAATAGCCATACCTATTAACATCCATCCCCCTTCTTGCATCTAAGAGCCAGATCGAGGGAGAGCCATGAAGTTCTTTTGTTTTTTTAACCAATACTTTGAAAAATGTGAGGGACTACTTGTTTTTTCCATTTAGAGTGATACCCATGGTGTTACAAGAGCCAATCTCCATACCAAATATGATCTTTCTCACAAAAGGCAAATTTGCCCCGTGACTCCCATTGGGTAACAAATCTAAAACAGTGAGAGGCTTTTTGTTAAAGCACCTAGTGTCCAGTTCATGAAGCACTTTGTTTTCTGAGAGTTCCCTAATTCTAGAGCATAAACTCCTTTCCACAGCATCACTTTCACATCTGTATGGTGGATGGAATCCAGATGCACTGCAGCTGCAGCCTTGGTTGAAGTCTGGGACGCCATTTCCGCCTCCGCGTTGTGGTGGCCAGCCCTTCCCGCTGGGGGGCAGCACCTCACAGGCTATCTGGGCTTCAGGAGCATTGGAAGCATTGGAGAAACAGCTTCAGCTCAAGGATAAGGAGGGCAGAAAGGCACACAGATGAAAATTAGTCACGCATCTATTGTCCATATAAAGCAAAGACAGGTTTAGAGCACATTCTGGAGGCGTACAGAGAAAAAGCAGCTGAGTGCATGCCTTGAGGGTCCTCCTGTTTTGCACAGCCCAGAGCTTTGGGAGCTGGGACTGCAGGCAGGTGTTAGCACCGCTCTGCAGCAGAGCCTGCATGTGATTATCTGAAATGCCCCGGGAGGGCCTTTCCCACTCTTGCTCTGTCTCTGGATATTTTTGGAGGGCAGTCTGGGCCATGAGAAAATGTCAGACCACCTTATAAGGCAGTGTCTGGACCCGAGAATGCTGTCTGCAGCTTGCTGGGTACACTGTGGACTTGAGTTAACTCGACTCTTGAACTGTGGGTTTTCTCACAGATTCCAAATACTCTGCCCATGCCATGAATTATTCTCTTTAAAAGACTGAACCTCTTCCTCCAGAGAGCTGTTTAAAAGGCCACCACATTGAAAGGACCAAGCAGATAACCAGGGGCTACTTCAACCAGACTGTCTGTCATCCACAGTTCTGGGTGACAGGAGTGTCGGTGGATATGTTGGGGGGAGGGGTGTCTGTGGTTCAAAACACAGAAACAAAGTATCCTCCTGTTCAGCTTTCACTCTGAACGTATTTTGAATCTCCCAGAGGGGGTACTGTGTCAGATTTTCCAAACCTGTTTGTCCCCCGTTCCCTGAACACACCTTGAAAATTCTGACTGTTGGTGGCCACTTTCCAAGGGATATCTACCTGTTCTTGGGGATGGAGGGAGTGGAGTTCAGCCTGGGATTTGGGAAGCCTGCTGCCTCAATTTCTAGGCAGACTAGGTTTTAGATAGACCACTCCCATCAAGTAAGTAATTGGATGCTTAGGTTAATGACGCTAGTGTGCTCAGCCCGGATGAGTGTGTTGTTTTCCAGTGAGTGTAAGAGGTGTCACTAGGGCATGTGACTCTCACTAGTGTCCCAAGCCAAGATCAATTCCCTTGGGGCTCCCTGCCTGCCCAGCATGTGCTTAACCATCCTCCTTAAATCCGTGGGATATTATCCCTGATTTCACCAAAACAGCTACCTAGGTTGGACATGTTGCTCACACCTATAATCCCAGCACTTAGGAGGCTGAAGCCATGGATTCCTTTGATGAAAAAAACCTGAACTATAGAAGAAGACACTGCCCCCCCCAAAAAAAAAAAAAAAAAAACTCCAGACAGGTGGGGGTAGTGACTATCAGCAGCAATTGCTTCAGTTTTCGCTACCAAAATCCTAAACCTGTTTTGGGAACACACTTTTACCCAAGGCTCATCCCTCCCCTGTGCTCTGGACATTGAATCCAAATCTCTTCCAAGTACTTCCTCTGGCTCTTCCCACCTTGGTGCCATTAGCACACCTCTCTGGCCTCCTCTGCTTTCCTCCTCCTGGGCTCCTCTCTCCCTCTCCTGACGTGCTGACATGCCATGATACTGACACGGGATCCTTTCAGGATCCCTAGTGGCCTCCATGTTATGGTATCCAGGACACACTCTTTAGTCCTTATCTTGGGGCTGGGCACCCAGCAGTCTTAGACTCTGGGACTGTGATACAGTTTAGGAGTAGACCAGGAGGCTCAGCAATGCCCTAGTGCTAGCCCAGAACTCTCATTTCTCCATGCATTCCCCCAGAGAATCCATGCAGAGTAAACAAATAAGTGTCGTGGCTAATCTTTCCAGGGTGGAATCTCTCTAGGTTGAGAAAAGAGCCTCAAAACATTCCTTCCTTGGGGCTGGAGAGGTGGCTCAATGGTTAAGAGCACTGACTGCTCTTCCAGAGGACCTGGGTTCAATTCCCAGCATCCACATGGCAGCTCACAACTGTCTGTAGCACCATTTCCAGGGGATCTGACACCTTCACTCCAGTGCACTTAGGAAATCATGAGACCTAAACACCCCTCAAATGCCATTCCATTCTTCATCCCAGCAAGAGCACTGTGAGGAAAAGACACAGACAGCATGCCAGTGCCACCATGCTAGGCCGGGAAGGACAGGGAAGTTTCCAAGGATAGCTAGAGAGAGCACCCCCACTCCTCCCACTACCTAAGCCTGGAAGAGTCCACAGAGATCATATCCCAGGGCACTGACCTCTTAAGGCCCATCAGCTGCACTCACTCCCTGTAGCAAATGTAACTCCTCATAATCTCAAGATGAAACATTAAGATTAGCAGCCCTCTTCCTTGGGGAGAAGTAAAGATGTGCTGTTGTGGGAGGATAAAGGAAATCTTCCAGGGAGCCAGCATCCTCCCTTCCATCATCAGCATCCTCCCTTCCATCATCAGCATCCTCCCTTCCATCATCAGCATCCTCCCTCCCATCAGCAGCCTCCTCCCTCCCATCAGCAGCAGCCATCTTGCGGCATTGTTTCATCTTGTTTCTCTAGCCTGCACTTCCGGTTTTCTAGGCCGCATTTTATTGTCTCCTTCCTAACTTGTTTTCTCATATACTTGGTGTGCCCCCAAGAACTCGTGGTACTGGTTAAAACCCTCCCTGGGCTGCCCCTAGACCCACTGAGCTGGCAACACTGAAGCTTGAGGGTTCACGTTTTGCTAGCTCTTCGGAGTGGTTGTACCTGCAGGGGCATATGGGGAAATTTTACTGTGTGTGTGTCTGTATCCACAGCATGCTTGTGGAAGTCAGAGGTCGACTGGGGCATTCATTTCTCTTCTTCCCCCATGTGGATTCTGGGGATGGAACTTGGGTTGTCCTCCGTGGCAGCAAATGCCTTTACCTGATAAGCCCTCTCACTGGCCCTCTTACAGAGAATTTTTGAAGAACACTGGCTTCTCTCTTTTTTTTTTTTAAATCGAATCAATTGCCAACAATTTGAAATTGAAAAATACCATGCAGTCTTCTAAAATAATAAGAGCTGGGTGGTGGTGGCACATGCCTTTAATCCCAGCACTCGGGAGGTAGAGGCAGGTGGATCTTTGTGAGTTCGAAGCCAGCCTGGTCTACAGAGTGAGATCCAGGACAGGCACCAAAACTACACAGAGAAACCCTGTCTCAACCCCCCCCCCAATAATAAATAATATAATATAGTCAATATAATATGAAAGGTAAGGCATTGAGAGTTCACATTCCCATCAGGCCTTGGTGACAACCAGGGAGGGCTTCCCTTGTTAGATCTGGTGCTAGGGAAGGGAGGAAGCTCAGGCTCCAGTGCTGGCTGTCCACAGCCTGCAGCTCACCCTGGCACTGCCCACCCGGGTCCTGGAGACTCCTGGAGCAGATGCTGGAGGAGGAGCAGATCTCCTGGGACTGTTGAGCTCCATCTGTGTGCTGCTGACTGTAACCTCCACCAGGAGTCCAGAACCACCCAGTCCAACTTTCCATGCTGAAACGCCTCTGTCCTTCCCTCCCCTGCCACAAGTCTTCCCTCCACAGTCCTCTTCCCTTCAGAGTCTTTCCAACTCTGAAAGGCCTCAGCCAGCCAGCCACACAAGGCAGGTCCTGGAGCCTTCTCTCTTCTGTGTCTTGGCCCATCCTCACTTTACTCACTTGCTCAATCCTGTTGGTTTTAGCTCCTGGGGACCCACTGATGGATCTATCTGCTTCTCTTCTCTGCGCGCGCGCACGCGCACACACACACACACACACACACACACACACACACACACACACACACACACACACACACCGTCTAAGCCTCCATAGATGTTGACTGAACCAC